GCGAGGCCAGGGCAGGCTACGCGTGGGCGGCGTCGACTGCGCGGGCGGCTAGGGGGTCGCACGCACGAGAAACGGGCCGCGCGCGGGCGGCTAGCGGGCTGCGCGGGCGAGAAAACGGGCCGCGCGCGCGGGCGGCTAGCGGGCTGCGCACGGGCAGCGCGAGAGAGAGGGCGCGCGAGGGCGCACTAGGAAAGAGGCGCACGAGGGCGCGAGAAAGATAAGGCGCACGAGGGCGCTTCTAGCGGAACGGTGGGCCCTTAGGAACGATCGGTCCTAGGTTCCTAACCTAGGCTCGTAATACCATGTCAGAATGAGAGAAGTGAATCAACTAACAAGATTGGGAGTACAAGTAGGAAAACCTAGAAAGTTGTACCCCCTAAGGCTGAACCCACTATAGCATACAGAACAGAAACATATACAATGTTTGACACAGCCGTCACGTGGGTCGCCGACGTCGGCCCAACTCCATTTTGCTAGGGAGAGCGACGTTGTTCGCCGACGTCGTTGTACGAGCTGCACGCGACCGCCGTCGACCACTGCACTCGTGCTCACATCCCGCTGATCACTCCTCTCGTCACCCTCGTTCCCTCGCCGCTGCCGACTTGGTCACTGCCGTCGACCTGCATGTCGACGCCGCCTTCGTTGCGCGTCAGTCATGGAGAAGCGGCGTCCGCTTCAGGTCGAGAAGGATGCTCGTGCGCCCACTTCGCACGAGTGCCCAGGAGGAGCACGCCCGCGCGCTGCACCAAGGCGGCTTGCCATTGCTGTAGCAAGGCGGCTCGCCACTGTTGCATACGCGTGTGACCATAGCGCATGTGCGCATCCAATTCGGAGTGCGTGTAGGCGATTGAGTACGTTGTGCTCCGCCCAGGACAATGTGCTGGCACCGAGTCGGCCACGTGCCGACGGTTGCGCATGATGAGCCTCATCGACCTTGGGATACCAGCCCGAGGTCGGCTTCACCAAAACCACCTGAGCGACGTCCACACTCCTCCGTAGGACTTCGTCCCCCTGGTTACTTGGTCGGCTGGGAAACCGCCAAGTCTGCGCCGACTTGAGCGGTAGGAGCTTGCAAACCGATGTACATGTGGTGTTGACCACCCAGGTCGACACCACCCCGGCTTCACCAAGTCGGCGTACCTGCAGGTCAGCGCACGCCTTCGTCGACCACTCCAATTGAAGTCGGCGGGGTCGCAGTGGTCCCATGCAGGTCGACCAACCTCGTCGACATGCTTGCCCAGGCTGGTGTCAGCCACTGAAGGCAGTCGGCTGCACCTCCCGCGCACCCGACCATGAAGCCGGCTTCGCCCAAGCGAGGGCGGGGCCAACTATCATCAACACGATATATACACACTCACGTAGCAGAGGGGCGTCTTGGGGAGGGAGCTAGTGTAAGGATGTTTTTCGAAATTCCTTACCACGCATCTCAACATCGCGTACATGACCATCCGTCATTTCGCCCGTCATTTCTAACGGTTATTCGTCGCCTTCTTGCGTCACAATTCTCAAACCACGTACTGCTAGACTGGCCCGAGTCGGCCTACGCTTCGGGACTAGTCCGAACCTCGCTGCCAGCATCGCACTAGCTAGCTTGCACGCACCGCATTACCGTTTGCTTGTTTTGCTATAACTTTTCGCTCATGTCTTCGCTCACATTTTATACTCGTTTGCCAACTTATTGCAATCCTCGCTTAATTAATTTATTGCACCCATAACACATGTTATTTTTGCCCCCTTAGGGCGTGTCCAGCGCGTACGTTTACGGTTCGTTTACAGTTCATGACTCATGGCGCAACACGATATCAAATGGTTCAAAGCGATTTGCAGTTTCCACCATTTTTAACCGTGACGCAACAAGGTCAACCGCACAGGATGAACTGTAAACGTACGCGCTGGACCCGCCCTTAGTGAAATCTTTGTTTGCTCTCCTCGTACCAATCCCCAGCAAGTATAGTAAATGCTATCCTCGCAGTTCCTTGAAGCTGGTGAGATGCGACCTGTGTGACACGATGATTGCGTACTGCTGACGTTGAGCAGGCTGCATCTGATTGTCCACACAATCAGGGCGAGGGCCAGTCTAGCTTTAGTAGATGGGTGTGTTCGTTGCCATAGACTCTAGTTCCTTCTCTATTGCGTGGAAGGGCTCCGTTCCGTTATCTATTTCGGCTAGGTACCGCAAGATTTGTCATTGTAACCAATGCGAACGCACCGCGTTTTTGCACTATGCTGCCGCGAAATTCGAATAGCACAAATAGGCAGACCACCCGCAGCAGGTACATCATCTCAGATTCCTCCATTTCCAGAATCTACTTTCACTCGGCATCACTTCGGTACATCTCGCAACGTTATCTCATACGCTGCGCTAATCATCTACCTCAATCCGCTGCTAGTCCACTGCTACCTCAATCAGGCGTCCTTCATAACCGCACAGGCATTCCATTCCGCTGCCATCGTCGCGCCGCGACGGAAGCGTACCCGCATCGTGATCTGAAGCATGGCACTCCTTCACTTGAATGACTAATTTTCTGCTTCAAGCTCTAAGCTCTATCATCATCATCTGCGTATTGTTGTGGGTTTTGAGTATGACTCAAAAGTTACACGAAGGCTTCAAGCTCTATCATCATCATCTGCGGCCTGTTAGGTTACGTGCCCTCCATCTCGCACGCCCCGCCGCACTATACCACTTTCTGACACACCCAAGCTGTGTCAGGGCCAGGTGGTGCTTCGAGTGCGTGAGGCAAGCCGCTTTACTTTAAAGACTTACCTAGATTTTCCTTATCGAGCTTTACCAGGTGGATGACGGCGTCCCGGCACGCCATGTAAGGGCGAGATGTTGCTTCGAGCGCATACATAAGCTTCTGCATCCCAATTCCCCCGCATTCACCACTTGAGGAAGCAACAGTGTCCCCATGTTCAGTCCGTGAAAGGGCGAGGTGCTATTCGCATGCGCGCAGCGAGCAACTCCAACCTTTATGTTTTCTCCCATCCCTCACTTCCTCTCACCTCACAGTTGAAAGACAGTGTCCATGTGCCTGTGCCATGCAAGGGCGAGGTGCTGGTTCGCGTGCGAGCGGCGAGCATCAACCCGGGTGAATGGAAGGTGCATTCGGGCGGGCCTCATCCCCTTCCTGCCGCGCCGCTTCCCGGCCACCGCTGGTGAGAAAAGCGTGCATTGAAGAAGATGAAGAAGATGAAAGAATTTAAGAAGGACTTTCAAAAGGCAGCAGATGAAAGCATTTCAGAAGGACCTTCAAAAGCACTCCGCGCCACCTTTGGTGAGGGTCGTGCATGCACTGCCTTGTGTCCTCACTGTCTTGTGTCCTCACTGCCTTGTGTCCTCACTGTCTTGTGTCCTCACTGCCTTGTGTCCGCACTGCCTTGTGTCCTCACTGCCTTGTGTCCGCACTGCCTTGTGTCCTCACTGCCTTGTGTCCTCACTGCCTTGTGTCCTCACTGCCTTGTGTCCTCACTGCCTTGTGTCCTCACTGCCTTGTGTCCTCACTGCCTTGTGTCCTCACTGCCTTGTGTCCTCACTGCCTTGTTTCCGCACTGCCTTGTGTCCTCACTGCCTTGTGTCCCCTTGCCTGGCTCTGTGGTCCCCCCTCTGCTGGTGACGACCGGCATGCATTTCTTTTCCTGCCGCCTTGTCATTCACCCTTCTCACCGTACGCTCGAATTCGGAATCATTGTTTGATTCTCCTCAATTTCCTCTGTTCATGCAGGGTACGACCTGGCAGGCAACGTGGTGGCAGTGGGGCCGGGCGTTACCAAGTACTCTGTGGGAGATGCCGTTTTTGGAAAGGCACTGTTCTTTGTACGTTCCGTAACCACATTCTGCTTTGTTCCTCGTTCTTCCGATCTCATCCACTGCACTGCACCTATCTCCACCGCTCTGCGTCACATCCCTCTCTTATGACATGCGACCACTTGCCTTTCGACTACGGACAAAGCCTGAACCACAAGCAAACCAACCTCTTGTTAAAACTCTGGTGTTTGGTGTTTTCACTGCAACCTCTCTCCCATACACCCTCCATGCGTTACCCATCCTCTCTGGCCCCACTCTCGTTCAATACGCAGTACCCAACCAGCACACCTCTTGCTTGCTTTCCATTCTCATTTGCTTTTCCAAACCTCTTGTGTATTCTCATTCCTCTTCTCTCAGAAGATGGGTGCCCTGGCGCAGTACGCCATACTGGAAACTGCCGGCAGTGCGCACAAGCCTTCCTCCCTCACCTTTGAGTCTGCCGCTGCTCTCCTCGCTGCTCCTTCCTGCAAGCCCTGAGGAACCCAAACCGGGTTGTGAGTCGCCTCAAAATCTGAGTGCGGAGCGCAGCCCTGATAGCAGTGGTAAGGGCCAGAACAGCAGCAACGGCATTGTTTCCGGTGCCAGCACAAGCAGGAGCGACGGTAGCGGGAAGAGGGCGCGGGTGCTGGTGGCGAATGCGTCAGGGGGAGTGGGGCATATGGCGGTGCAGCTGGCTAAGGCAGCAGGGGCACACGTGACTGCCACTATAGGTGCTCGTAACCTCGCTTTCGCCTGTTATCAGCCTTTCTGCTCGTGCTGCTTCGTTTGCTGATCCTCCAATCACTTATCTGTATGCTGCGGTGATAGATTGCTCCCCCAACAACCTGGCAGTTTCTGATGGGGACAGGGTTCCCTGTCCCCAGAAGAGGTGGGTGCATGTGGAGCTTCCGCTCTCTCTGCTTGCGCTGGGACTCTGGCGCCACCTTGCTTTTCGCCCCAGGAAACTGTGCCCTGTTATGATGGAAATGATGGACAACAAGGGGGCTGAATTGGAGGCGCTGGGGAGGATGGCGGAGGAGGGGAAGGTGAAGGTGGTGGTGGAGAGTAGTGTGGTGTTTGAAGAGGCGAGAGAGGCGTGGCGGAGGAGCATGGGAGGGCATGTGACAGGCAAGGTGGTGGTTAGGATGGAGTGAAGGGCTACAAACAATTGATCCTTCAACACGGTGAAAATCACGACTTCAAGAGACTTCTTAGGCTAGAGCACTACCCTTCACGTGAAACAATTGACCATGAAGAAGCACAAACATGAACTGAAGAGCATGCATACAAAGTACCGTATCTCTGCACCATCGTACTACTAGTACCCACTCACAAACCCATTCCCTCTCGACAACCCACCCCGCTACACCATCCACTCCCCTCCCACCCGCTATACCACCTAAACGTTCAGCCAGTCGTATGCTCAAAAGAACCTACCCGCCAAGATTCACGTCACTCTCCTTCACCCTCGTGTCGTGACTGCTGGCGCCAGCTTGCCTTCGACAAACCACTTTGAAGCGGCATTTGGTGCGGCACTTCGAATATTCTTCACCCCAAGCCTACTTGCTTACTTGGCCTCGGCCATGAGCTTCTTGAAGTTGGTCTTGGACGAGTACAGCGTCATGGGCTTCCAGTCGGCGGGAACGACCTTCTCGAGAGTGATCTTCTCGAGGGTGTGTCCCGCAGTGAGGCGAACGCTCACCGCCTTCTTCGCGCCCACAACCTCCTTCGCCTCCTTGCCCTTGATCCCCCAGATCGCCTTGCTGCCGTCGCGCGTCAGCTTCGCCCACTTCTTGCCGTCCACGCTAATCTCGACCGCCTTAAGCGTACCGGGGCCGGCGAGACCCACCATCTGAATGTTGAAATTCTCTGCCGTCGAGTTGCTGCGCACGCGCACCGCCGAACCAGCGGTGGAATGGCAGTTGGTGCGCTTGTACGTGATGCCGACGGGGGTGGCGTCGGATCCCTGCACGATCTTGGACCACGAGACGGCGGAGAGCGAAATCTCCTTCTCCGTGGTCGTCGCGCCAATGACGCGGACTGTCACGGTCGCCTTGCCGCTGCGGCAGTGCTTAGTGTTGTTGGCGCAAATCACCTTGTAGCACGCGCCGCAGCGCTGGCCGAAGATGGCGGGAGGAAGCTTCACGGTGAGTCCCTTGCCGAAGTATGGGTTGGCGGTGTAGTTGCCGTAATAGGCGCATGTGGAGTTCTTTCCTAGCCCCGCGCTCTTGCTCTGCCTCGCTGTGGCCGCCAAGGCTGGCGTGGTTGCGTTTGCAGACCCGATCGCGCCAGCCGCAACCCCCTTAGCATAAGCATTCGCGTTGGCAGGCGCAGTCGCTTTAGCAGGCGCAGTCGCGTTGGCGGGACTCCCGGCGGAAACGCGAGCAGGGGCGGAAAGGAGCACCACAGTGGCGATGACCACGACAAGGAACGCGGCCTTAGCGGGTGTGTGGCCGAAGGGAGTCATTTTCGTATCTTTATCTGTGTGTATTGACGAGGCTGAAACGGTAACTGGTGCTATTAAGCAGCTTAGAAAATATGTGGGTAGAGATAGAGTTGGTGATGAGATGAGCGGCAATGGTTGCTACTTACTATAGGTTCAGTCTTCAGCTGCTTCGAGGGATGGCACCGTGAGTCGCGGGCAACTGACTTGGCCATAGATTGGTTTTGGAAAATCAACAGTCCGAGTCGCACGAGTTTTGAGCAAAGGGTGGCACATTGCGAGTAATTGCGGATTGAGTGCGCGGGGTGGCGAGTAAGCGACGACCAGCAGCGATCTCGCGAATGATGAACCCTGCCCAAGTCTTCGCGACTGCTGGATACGGAATCAAACAGAGCTTCGCGAAATATAATTGTGAGAGAAACACTTCCTGCGCATGCGACGCCGGGATAGGCGCGAATTGAATACTCATTTCGATGACCCTTCATTACCACAGATTTTTTTTTTTTTTTTTTTTACGTACCACAATCAAATATTTTGGACTAGTGTATCATTAACACCAACATATGTGATGCACTCACATACACTCCAAAAAATCAAACCCAAATGCAACACACATAAAAACCCCATCAAGATACCCAATCAAAACACCCAGTCAAGGCGCCCCATCAAGATACCCCATCCCGCTCCCCATTTCACCCAACCTCAATCAAATCTGTGCATCCACCAAGTACGGGGCCTCCACCCAAAGAGCCCCGCCCTCCACCTCGACGTCGTCCCTCTCCTGGTCCACCAAATCCACATTCATCCCCCCCATGGAAGACGCCGCCCGAAGCAGGATGACACGAGCTAGCGCCCGTTGTAACGCCATCCCGATGAGCGCCTTCAGAGATCCCAAAAGATAAGCCGAAAACGAAGTGTCATCCTCCCGGCAAGCCCCCCGTGACACAGCTAGCCCCCCTGCTGACGAAGCCACCGCCGGAAACGACCGCCGAGACACCCCCACGTCTCTACTATCAAAGGGGTGAACTGCACGCCCCGGTTGCGTGCAAGCAGAGGCGCGTAATCACTCGTTTTGCGACGCTCCCACTCCCTTGCCGCCACACCTATAGAACGCCCGCACTGCCCTAGCAGAGATGGAGACAGCGACAGCGGGTCCGCGACGCTGATCTCTAGAGCATGAGCCTCCCCGGCCATTGGTCGTCGCACCGCTACGTCAACCCGCTTCCCCGGCAGCACCACACTATCCTCCATCGTCACCACCCCCCCTGACGCCTTAGAAATCTTCGCCACCGCAAACTTCACCTCATCATGCACCCGAGATGGACCGTGCTGGTGCTTGCATCTCAGGGCATGATGCGGGTCTGCTGGGTCAACATACGCTGTACCACAAACACACCTCCCCGCCACCTGCAGCTGCTGAATTGGGAGCCCGAGCCGTATAGCAGCAGCAATGCCCCACTCCGCCGCAGTGAATGTGAGATCTGAGTGAGCCGGAACCGCCGAAACCCATGCACCAGCCCCCGGGCCCTGAAGGGATGTGAAACGGGCCAGGGTGGCATCGTCACGAGCCGAGCGGCGCAGTGCCTGGAGCTCCTCTACCGCCAACAGCTGCTGCCGCGCCTGGAAAAGCCGAAGAGGAGGGGCCGCTACGCACAGAGGTAAGCCCGGCATCTCCTGGCGTATAGTCGCAGGCAGCTGCACAAGAGCCTTGGCAAACCACGGGTCAAGAAACTCCGCCCCTGCCGAAGTGGTGAGGTACTCCGCAAACATCGCCTCCTCGCCCGCCACCCCCAACTGTGCAATATCACGCGCGGCCTGGGCCCACCCACAAACATAGGACAGCGGACTCAAAGAGGCTGCCGCCCGGATCCCAAACCCTCCGAGTCGCACAGGGAGATGCAGCTGCATGCGTGCGCGCCTAGACCGGTCGGGGTCCTGCTCCCAAGTGCCAGGTGGGAAAAGCTGCTCAAAGCAATCCTCCAGACAGCTATCCCAATCCCTGAAGGCCTCCACCACCTCCGGACGCGGCGGCATAGTCCGGGCCAGGTACATCGGCCGTGCTGAAACTGCAATGGCGAGGAGATGTGAAGCCATCTGGGGGTGGTCGAGCAGGGGGAGCCATGGCAATGGCGCCTGCAACTGTCGAAGCCGCTCCCGTAACCGGGTCACCTCCCAATCCTCCTCCCCAATAGGCACGCCCACCACAGTGAGACCCTCCTCCACCCGCTGCATCCCCAATGGCAGTGCCCGCTCCACATCCCCGCCCTCGCGCTCCCAAAACCGGCACGTGTGCGGCTGCACCTCCAGCCCCACCCATTCCAACCGCTCCCGCAGCACCCCAAACGCCTCTAGAATCCTAGCCGCTGGTCCCAAGATATAGGTATCGTCTGCGTAGCTCATGAAAAGTAGGTCCCTGAACTCTCTAGTCACCGACTCCATCACCTGCTGCTGCGTGAACGCGAAAAGAAAAGGGCCGAGCGGGTCCCCCTGCCGCGATCCTCGTGCCGACTCAAGGCTCTGTACAAAAGGGCCCGCTCGGAGGTACAGGTCGCTAGGTGTCCCGTAGAAAACACGCAAGAATGGGATCAACCCTGAGAAAGGCGACTCCCGCAGCCCCTCAAACATCGCATGACGGTGAAACGAATTGAAGGCGTTCGCGACGTCTATCTGCAGCGCGCACCAGTCGGGGTGAGTAGCCAGCGCTGACCGGAAAGAATGGGTAAGAATATCCACCCCGGCCCTGGTGCCCGCTCCCAGCTGGTTGCACGGCAGAAAGTAGGAAGCCATCGTAGGGCGGAGCGAGATGCAGAGAGCTCGAGCAAGGATACGCGGAAGCACCTCCCCAATCACGACCGGCCGGACGTCGCCGTTAGGCTTGGAAAGCCCAACTAGGTTGGATGCGGCGAGCCAGGGCCGAGCCCGCTCGGGGACCTGTCCCGCCACCCATTGGTTGAACACCTCCAACAGGTGGGAAAGGCAGGAAGGTTCAGTGAGGAAGGTGTCGCGCAGATGCTCTGTGACCCACCCCGATGGCCCTGCTGCTGAAGCGCGAGCGGCTGTATGGATAGCTCTGGCCAGGATGTCGGTCGTGAGTGGAGGCCGCTGAGGAGCATCGACGGTGAAATCACGGACCCACTGTGGTACCTCGCTAGTGCTAGCAGGGTGCTTCTCTCGCAGCGACTGCACCATGGCCTCAGACCGCAGCAACCACAGATTATTTGGTGTTCTGCACTTGTACATCCGGGATGACCTGTATGTGCATTAAAACAAACAAAAAACAGTTAATCGACTACTCATTTCGACGACCCTTAATTACCACATATTATTTTTTTGTGGGCACTTGTAACATTATTGTATGACACATGTATGCATTGAAACAATAAACCAAGTTCGTTACAACTTGTTGTGTTAAACTGTTGTTAATGAAATATCGCAATGACAATGATAGTGACACGTCGTTAAGAAGCTCTGCAACGATATCTACAAGTGTGAAGGATTTTTATGTTTAAATGGGGAACATTTATAAGACATTGTTGACTTTTACAGATTCCTGATAACTATCAAGTGCACGCAGTGATCAAGTGCCAAGACAATACCGTACCAATCTTAATATGTTCATGGAGACTATCACGAACATTTCAGCAACTACATTCCACTTGCCGACACATTCCAAGGTTTTACAGCCCCAAGGCTTTCAGACATCAAGCAAGAAGAGCAACCAAGGAGTCTCTAGGAAGTGATATGAATGAGCTGGAGAATGATGACGCTAACGGGAGTGCTCTGCCGTCCCCTGGAAAGACGGATCAGGAGAAGGATCAGCAAGTGAAGGTGTGTTAAAGTTTAGAAGAAAGAAGAGAGAAGAGGAGAGGGGTTGCACTAGCAAGAATGAGGATACAAATAGCAAACCCTAGAAGGGTTGTACTCGCTATAGAGCACCCCACTACAGGCTAGAGCATAAGATAACATTCTGACACACCCCCATAGCCAAAGTGGGGTGTAATCAGCAGAGTAAGCAAGGGAGTACAAGCTCAGGGTGGATCACAATGTCACCACACATTCTGAGCACAAGTTAAAGAAGCAATAGTTTAAGTTCACAATTATGAGCAAAGCTAATGGTAGTCACAACGGGCAAGTGAGGAGGAGGAGAGAGAGTGAGAGGAAAGGAGATAGGAGGCGACGGCTGAAGCTGCAGACACACGGGCAACAGGAGGCAGACTGGCACAGCGGCTACCGGACTAAGCGCCCGGACTACAGGAGTAACAGGCCCCGCGGCTAAAGTAGCGGCAGACGAGCAACGGACCCACGGGCGGCTGGCGTAGAAGTCTACGACTGGGCTACCGGACGAAGTCCCCGGGCTACAGGTGCTGCTGGCGACACGACGGCAACCTCCGTGCAGCTTCCCCAAACTATCCCACTCCCCCCTGGCACACACCCGCTGCTACACCGCTAGCTCCACTCCCACGCACCCCCCTTAAACCCTAAACCCCAGTCTCCCACACAACCACCCCCCTCAGCGACAGCTGCAGCAGTGGGAGACGAAGGAGGAGGAGGAGCAAGGGGAGGAATGCACACACCTGCCACCCCCCAACCGCCACCCCCCAACCGCCACCCCCCAACCACTACCCCCCAAACCCTAAAAACAGGGTAGGGAGGTAGGGGGGGGGGGGGGGGGGGGGGGGGGGGGGGGGGGGGGGGGGGCAACGCGCGGTCCCCGGTAGACTCCCCTCCCGTCGCCTGTCGAGGCGACCCTGGGGGGGGGGCCGCTTGCGGCCCCCCCCAGGGCGCCGCGACGGGCGACGGGAGTTGGGCCGGGGCAGGTCGGGGCCGGGGCAGGTCGGGGACGGGGCGGGGCAGCAGGGGCCGCGCACGGCTCCCCTGGGCAGCGCGACGGGGCAGCAGGGCCGCGCGACGGGGCAGCAGGGGCCGCGCGCGGCTCCCCTGGGCGGCCCCACGGGGCTGCAGGGGCCGCGCGCGGTTCCCCTGGGCGGCGCGACGGGGCTGCAGGGGCCGCGCGCGGCTCCCCTGGGCGGCGCGACGGGGCTGCAGGGGTCGCGCGCGGCTCCCCTGGGCGGCGCGACGGGGCTGCAGGGGCCGCGCGCGGCTCCCCTGGGCGGCGCGACGGGGCTGCAGGGGCCGCACGCGGCTCCCCTGGGCGGCGCGACGGGGCTGCAGGGGCCGCGCCGCCCGTCCCGGCCCCTAGACGCCAGTGCGCCACCCGGCCCGGCCCCTAGACGCCCGCGCGCCGCCCGTCCCGGCCCCTAGACGCCCGCGCGCCGCCCGTCCCGGCCCCTAGACGCCCGAGCGCCGCCCGTCCCGGCCCCTCGACGCCCGCGCGCCGCCCGTCCCGGCCCCTCGACGCCCGCGCGCCGCCCGTCCCGGCCCCTCGCCGCCCGTGAGCCGCCCGTCCCGGCCCCTAGACGCCCGCGCGCCGCCCGTCCCGGCCCCTAGACGCCCGCGCGCCGCCCGTCCCGGCCCCTAGACGCCCGCGCGCCACCCGGCCCGACCCCTAGACGCCCGCGCGCCGCCCGTCCCGGCCCCTCGACGCCCGCGCGCCGCCCGTCCCGGCCCCTCGACGCCCGCGCGCCGCCCGTCCCGGCCCCACGCCGCCCTACCTGCGGCCTACTCGCCGCCCTACCTGCGGCTCGCCCGCCGCCCTAACTGCGGCCCGCCCGCCGCCCTACTTGCGGCCCTACCGCCGCCCTGCCTGCGGCCCGCCCGCCACCCTACCTGCGGCCAGCCCGCTGCCCTACCTACGGCCCGACCGCCGCCCTACCTGCGGCCCAACCGCCGCCCTACCTGCGGGAGCCGCCTAGCAGCAGAACCGCCGGGAGCCGAGCCGCCCTGCCGCCGAGCCGCCCGGGAGCCGAGCCGCCCTGCCGCCGAGCCGCCCGGGAGCCGAGCCGCCCTGCCGCCGAGCCGCCCGGGAGCCGAGCCGCCCTGCCGCCGAGCCACCCGGGCGCCGAGCCGCACTGCCGCCGAGCCGCTGAGCAGCCGAGCCGCCCTACTGCCGGGCCGCCCGACCTGCCCTGTCCGGTGAGCACAGCCCCACTGTCCCTGCGTGCCCTTCCCCTACTGCTTTTCTTGCTCTGATACCATGTTAAAGTTTAGAAGAAAGAAGAGAGAAGAGGAGAGGGGTTGCACTAGCAAGAATGAGGATACAAATAGCAAACCCTAGAAGGGTTGTACTCGCTATAGAGCACCCCACTACAGGCTAGAGCATAAGATAACATTCTGACAAGGTGCTGCAGAGCTCTTCGACGAATCCGCATCTTCCGCAGCCGGCTGGATCCGTGATGCTATAGAACAATGGATCTAAGAAAGGGACGGAGCAAGTTGACGAGACCAAGGCAGGTGGCAACAACAACGTCAATGGCAACAAAGTCGACAATGAAGACATATTTGACACAGAGACAACCGTCTCCGAACTGAACCCTGAAGAGGATGGAGAAGGTTACCTCAGCATTGACCTGGATGAGACGTTTGATCCGTTCGTCTCCAGTGATGTCGTTGCACAGACTAAAGTCTCGCTAACGCTCCTTGTGCCGTGTAACAGGAATGCGGAAGTCCAGCATACGAAAGCTATAGTCGCGACAATGCTGGATTTATGGAAAGATGATCTCTCACCTAACGTGATCCAGATAACGAAGTTCCAACAGCTGCAATCGACTTACCTCTCTCGCCAGAAGTTCAGCAGGCTGCAAGTGATGTTCGAGAATGCCAGAGATGCTGATTTCATTCGTGGACAAGTCATTGAACACGAGTGTGCCGATGACAATTTGCTGTAGTTGATCTGGCAGTACCCGAAGGATGCACTCTTACTCAGGGAACGTACATCTGCACTCGAGGTGGTGATAAAGTCGGTCCCTGCAAAGATATCGCCGGAGATGGCGCGTCGCATGTTGTCGGAGGTGACAACGCTCAAGAGGGGGAAGTCGGCTTTTGCCAGCGGCTTCGGGTTTCACAGAACGACAGATCTGGTGTCTAGCATGGACACGGACCGAATTAGTAGGTTGGTTGTTCCGCATGCTGCAAACACTAATTGTTGGCTCTGGAGTTTACATCGATGCCGGGAAGGAAGTTTCTGCTGCATTTCCCAAGCCTCACTTGTGAATATTGCGAAGGACAGCATATGTTACGTTACCACGACGACTATGTGATCCCGCGCCAGGACAACATGGGAAGGTCGACCTGACGGTGAAAAGGGTTCACAACATTAACGGTATAAAGAGTGGTGTACGTAATTTGGAGTTGTTTGTTGAGTTGCATCTCGCTGGAAGCTGTACTGACGATCTGTTCTTGTTTCTCCCATCAGCAGCCTCGCTCAAAGTCTCAAAATCTGTTAAAGGGAGTCCTGAAGGACCCAGCATTAGTTCTGACATCCACTGGAGGAACGAGGGAGGAGCGGGTCTGTGTGCAAGCAACCTGCGAGAAGACACAGGGCAGCCGCTTCAAACAGAGCTGCTCACATCGCATCGGCGCGCCACAGGGGAGGGCTATGCAAGTCTCAATTTGCAACACGTGCAACGAAAGGCACTCAGAGCCTGAATCTTTCAAGAAAGATTTCGTGACAAAAAAAGAGAAGTGAGACATGCTAGCATAATAGAGGCTCATCTCAATAGTATGGTAGAAGGAGCTAGCTGGTCGACGGAGGGGTCCGCCGACCAGGGTGGTCCTCGACATGAGTGGTGGTCGACGAGGGAGTTTGTCGACCTGGGCGCCCGGAATCCTACCCGGTCAACCAAGTAACATCTTTGACGAGGTTCTGCAGGGGCGCGCGAACATCGTCGAGATTGCTGTGGCGAAGGCGACCTTGGGCTGGTATCCCAAGGTCGATGTGGCTCTTCAGCCCGACTACTATGACGACGGGACCGGCCGGGTGTGCAAGCTGTTGAAGAGCATGTACGGGCTTAAGAAGTCGCCACTTTTGTGGTACTCGGCACTCGACGTCGTGCTGACTGGCGCCAACTGGAAGAAGATTCAAGTCAACGAGGCAATGTACTTCAAGGTCCGCGACGACAGAGTGGCATGCTGGGTGCTCGTCTACGTCAACGACCTGCTCGCCGCCAGCAGCAGCACCGCGATGCTGAAGGAGTTGCTGGAGGCTGCCTTCGAGCTGGTCGAGAAGTACATCGGGCTGGAGATCGTGCGCGACAGACCGGTGAGGAAGCTGTGGCTCCACCGGTAGACCTACGCCGACAAGTTGCGTCGACGATTCATCGACGAGGAGCAGACCGTTCGGATCCCGAAGATGCTGGTCTCCGTCAACACCTACGTCGAACTGACGTTCGACAACGAGGATGCTTATTCGCTCGAGGAGGAGGAATACCGGCAGAAGGTCGGCTCATTGCAGTTTGCGGTGACCACGTAGAGTCCGGACATCACCATCGCATGCAGCAAGCTGGGGAACGGTCTGCGGTGAACTTTTGGCCGCATGTCTCACGCCCAGAGGATTCACCGACATGTTTGTGGACTAGGAACCGTGGTGTTGCGTATGTGTTTCGTGTCGGCTGCCTTGTGCATGTCCGCGATCCTTGCGCAGAAAAGCTCTCAGCTTGTACCCTCCCATGTGTCTTCCTTGGTGTCCTGGTTGACGCCCCTGACTTCACTTTTAACCACCTGCCCCTCCACTAGTTCTTCGACTCCCGCGTAGTCGCGTTTGACAAGTTTGTGTCCTTCTTCGTCCGATACCCCCATCGAGGTCACCCGGTTCCTTGCCCTTCCCCTCTTCCTTGTTCCCACTCCTCCTCCTAGTCTTGCTCCTCTTGTGCTCCCACCCCACTCATGTCATGCCCCGTCAGGTGTGTCTCATGCTACCCCTCCTCCTTCGGAAGCGCGTCCATTGTCGTATCCTTCCCCACAGTCCCCCACGTCGTCGTCACAGTCACCGCAACAGCCCTTTGGTACTACCGAGACAAGTAGCAATCGACTTTGGGGGTGTTGGCGTTGGAGGTGCTGGTTCTGTAGGTGCTGGTTCTGGGGGAGCTGACGTCGGGGGTGCTGGAGGTGGAGGTGTTGGAGTTGGAGGTGCGGGTCCTGGGGTTCTGCAGCCAGAGGTGCTGAAGCTCGAGGTGCTCACACTGGAGGTGCTAAGTATAGGGGTGTTGGAGTTGGAGGTGCTGGTTTTGGGGGTGCCGCTGCTGGAGGTCCTAGCATTGGAGGTGCTGGTTCTTAAGGTGCTGATGTTGGAGGTACTAGTGCTGGAGGTACTGGCGCTGGAGGTGCTGCCCTTGCGGCACCAGACCCTAATTACCTGACGAGGTTCCCGCTACACCAGCTGCAACGACAGAAGCAACAACAGTCGTCGCCACCTGTGAGTAACCTTCGTCTCCTTGGTCTTCCTCCTCCTTTGTCGAGCCACTCTCCGCCTTCGCCTAAGTACAGTCCCTCGTTTTCTCCTTTTGACGCATCTCCCGCTCGTTCTCCTCCTCGATCACTGCACTCTCCTCCATTGCCTCCTTCTCCGTCTCTTGCCTCTACTCCCTAGCGTCATTGTTCTACGGGGGCTCGTTCCTTGTCTTTTGTTCCTGACATCCACTCCTTGTTCCTTCGTAATACCCCGAGTCGTGTCCAGCCTCCTTCTCTTCTTCCTTTACCTCCTCTATCATCTCTCCTGTTTCCTCAAAGCCTCTTTCTAACTACTTCCGAACTGCTCCTCTTCTCGTCCCGCGTGTCCTCTCTGACCCTAATCCCTCTTCCTCGTCTCTTTTGTCTCTTGTCGCTGCTGTCACTGACTTTGCCGCCATGCACCGCCTTGAATAAACCACACAGTTGGTGTCTGCTCCTCCTTCCGTTCCTCTGTCCGCTTGGGGAGAGCTTGCCCTTGGCTGTGATGACCTAGGAGACAGGCAGTTCGAGCCGGAGTTCCTTGCGGCCGCTTCTCCCCACCTCTTTGCCATGCTGCTAGCCCCTAAGGGAGACCTTGAGCGGAGAAGGCACCTCGTGAGTGGCACGATATTGTCCGCTCCTTTTGTGTTTCTTTGGGGTTCATTCCTTCTTCCACCGACATGCCTTTGTTCATTTGTTATGGGTCCACTCCTCTCTTCATCCTCAACCACGTCGATGCCTTGGTCTTCGCTACTATAGACAAGGTTGATCCGGCTGTCAAACTATACTTGTTATAGTTTGTTAGTCTAGTCTAGGTGTTACAGTGAGTTATGCAGTAGAGGGTACAACCCCCTTCGGGGTTTCGTATATGTTTCCTTGTACTGCTTCGTTCTAGTCACTCATTCTTCCGGTTCTCTCGTTGACATTGTATAGAGCTT